GCCCGCCCCCCCCCCCCACCCAGAGGGCGGAGAGAACCCAGGTGTCCGGCCACCCCCCCCCCCCTGCTCTGACCCCCAGCCCCCACACCCCTCCCAGAGCCGGGAGAGAACCCAGGAGTCCGGGCTCCCCCGCACTCACCGCCAGCACGGCTCCATCGCAGATCACCAGGTAGCCCAGCTGGTCGGGGATCCGCTCCAGCCCCTGGGTCAGCGCTGTGGTCTGGGGGGGGGGTTGGAGGTCAGAGCAGGGGTGTGGGGCAGAGGCCGGAGGGGAGGGGCCGGGCCCGGAGGTGGGTTCCTGGCTCCCCAAGGGACCCGCTAGTCGGGGCTGCGGGGACAGCGGGGAGCCGGCCCCGAGACCTCCCCCCCCCCGCGGGGAACCGGGCCCCGGGGTCACGGCCAGCCCCGGGAACGGGCCGAGCCCCCCCGCCGTGCAAGTGGGGGGGGGGGGGTCTAGGCGCCCCGGCCCGGCCCCGCCACGCAAGGGGGGGGGGTCCGGGCCCCCCGGCTCCCCCCTCGCCGTGCAAGTGGGGGGGGGGGGGTCCGGGCCCGACTCACCATCTCGGGGCCGCGCTGCTCCCAGCCGTCAGCTGATACCTGCCGTGCCCCGCCCTCCTCTTATCCCCGCCCCTTAGCCCGCCCATTGGCCCGCGGCGCTGTCCGTCCCCCGCCCGGGTGGAGCCCCGTGCTGCCATTGGCCCAGGCCGCTCTGCGTGGGGCTGGGTCTGAGGGCGGGGCCACTTCCGATTCCTCGCCCCCGTCCGTAGGAATGAGCTGATGAATATTCATGAGGCGTGAGCCGCCGAAGGCTCAGCGGGGCACGCCCCCGCGCGCGTGACCTCCCGCCGCAGGGGCTGATGGGTGCCCGGTCCAACGGCCGCCTGCCCCAGGGGTTCATGGGAGTCTAGCTATGGGAAGGCACCTGCCCCAGGGGCTCATGGGAGTCTAGCTAAGGGCACGGGGGGGCAGGGGGCGCTGCCCCAGGGGCTCATGGGAGTCTAGCTAAGGAGGGGGGCATGCACCTGCCCCAGGGGCTCATGGGAGTCTAGCTAAGGGCATGGAGGTGGCAAGTGCTGCCTCAGGGGCTCATGGGAGTCTAGCTAAGGGCAGGGAGGGGACGCTGCCCCAGGGGCTCATGGCAGTCTAGCTAAGGGCATGGGGGGGCGAGGGCGGCTGCCC